GCCACCCCCCCCGTTTTCTTTTTGGGGTGAGTCACTCTCTTCCCTTTTTTCTTTTGGGGGAACCGGGGGGAATTTGCCCTTTTTTTTTTTTGGGGGCTCCCATTCTCTGTAAAATTGAGCCGCAGGGCCCATATATACTGATTCCTATTTAAAACACTAGTTTTACACCCTTTTTTAAAAAGGACCTTGGCTGGTGGGTTATTTGACACTGAGAAACAACAAATTTGGATCACAGTGGGAGTTAAATCGGGTTTTCAAACCCAACAAACCAAAAATTTTGGGAAAGGGTATTACCAACAAAGCTTAAATTTTTGTAATGGGGAAAACTTAACTTAAAAGAAAAGCTCATCCCCCTTTGCATAGCCGCCCCTGCAGACGGTTCTTGAAAAAGCTGTCAAGCCCATTCCTCAAGGGGGCTGAAAGAGTTATAATTTTAAAAAAAAAAAAATTTAAACCTCTGGGGGGGTTTAAGTCAGCATATTTCATTCACTGATTGCGGGCCCAAACTTACTTATTTGGACTCAAAATTTCCACACCTTTCCTCCCAACCAATGGGTTTTGATTAAAAACTCCTTGCAAACTCAAAACTGCGCGGGGCCCCCCGACACAAAAAAATTGGGTAACCAATTTTTTTTTCCCTTTTTTTGGGTAGCATGACTATGGTTTTCTTCACCCTTTCGAAGATATGGGTGACTTGTTTAAACTGAAGTGCCCCTTGGAGTCCACGTCTTCCAAAAGTCTAGGAATACCACCGGTAAAACAATTTTTCCCACAAATTTGTCTTTATTATTCACAATCTTTTTCACTAAAAAAAGGCGATCACACTCCCTTAAGTTTTTAATTGTGTTTTATGAGACACTTTTTTTCACAAAATGCACAGATCTTTCTTTGTTGGTTATCCTGGCATCATGTCCTCCTCAGTGGGAAAAAAAATTAATCTGAAGATGCCCCCAGCACCCCACCGTACTGCCCCCGCAAAAAGGGAAAAGCTGACCAAATTTACTTTTGTTTCCCTTTTGGCCAATTCCTCCATGAGGCAAAGCAAAAGCTTGATTTTTGCTGTTTTAAGGGCATAGAAAAACAATATACACTATTTTTACCATGAAAAATAAAGTTGGAGCAGGTTTTTCCCCTTTTTGGTTCCGCAAAGGGTTTAAAGATGGACTTTTCCCCTTATTAGACTAACTTTGCAAAAAAAGGATCTGCCAGGAGGTCGGTCGAACGACCACCCCAAAACTCGTATTTGCATCTGCTATCAAAAATTTCCTGTCCAAAAAACAAGATATTTTGCCCCTTCGAAAAGAGCGGGGCCCCCTCAGGGTGAAAGGGGCGAAGGGGCTAAAGGGGGGCGGGAATCCCCCCCTTTCCGGGAAAAAATTTTTTCCTCCACAGTTGGAAAGCCCAGAAAAAGGGTTTTGTGGTTCCGGGAAAAGGGGGGTGCGGGAAAAAGAAGAGGGTTTTGGTGGAAGATGATGTAAGGGATAGAAAAGGGAAAAAAATTTTTACAAAATGAGGGGTTTTTTTAAAAAAGTAGAAGTGATGCAAGGAAAGGGAGGATAAAATGGGATAAAAAGAGCAATGTAATAAAGAGAAAAAACGAAAAAGTGGGTGAAAGATATTAACAAATTTCGTTAAAATAAGAAAAAATTTTTTTTAGGAGAGTAAAAAAGTTGAAAAGCCTTTGGGAACGAAATTTATTTGATTAAAGACAACATCAACAACACAGCCACTTGATACTGGAGTTCTGCAGGGGAGTGTCCTTGGTCCCCTGCTCTTCCTCATATACATCAATGATCTCCCAAACGTATCTCAACACCTGAACCCCTTTCTCTTTGCTGACGACGCGACTTATGTAATTTCTCACCCTAATCTTGCCACCCTCAACACCATTGTTAATGAGGAGCTGATCAAAATATCGACTTGGATGACAGCCAATAAACTTATGGTTAACACTGACAAAACCTACTACATTATGTTTGGTAGCAGAGCAGAAGATGTGCAAATTAACATTAAGATCGACAACACTCTAATTGCCAGGCATAATGAGGGCAAATTCCTAGGCCTATACCTCGACAACAACCTGAACTTCAGCCACCATATCCAACACATAACCAAAAAAGTATCCAAAACGGTTGGGATCCTCTCCAAGATACGATACTACATGCTGCAAACTGCCCTTCTCACACTATACCATTCACTTATATATCCATACCTCACCTATGCTATCTGTGCTTGGGGTTCAACTGCAGCAACACACCTAAAGCCAATAATAACCCAACAAAAAGCTGCAGTAAGAATAATCACTAAATCACATCCCTGGCAACACCCCCCCCCCCCACTCTTCATAGATCTAAACTTACTCCCTGTTCAGTACATCCACACTTACTACTGTGCAATCTACATCTACAGTACCTTAAATTCCAATATTAACCTTGACCTAAAACGCTTTCTTGATAGTTTGTGACAGAATCCACAGGCACAACACCAGACACAAACATCTCTATGACATTCCCCGTGTCCCGACTAAACTTTTACAAAAATTCAATGTATGTCAAAGGCCCTAAAATCTGGAACACCCCACCTGAAAATTCTAAAACTGCAGACACATTCATCACCTTCAAAACTACCATTAAAAACATCTTATCTCCCTGATACACCCTGTCAACTAATAATACGAATACCACCCTGGTGGTTCACACTTACACTCACTCACCCATTTGACCATAAACAGAAATATCAATCTCAATCTCAAATAATGAATCTTAACTAGTCATAAGTTGCCTGTGATACTCCAATACTGAAACTATATATAGTGCCAAAACAAAAGCATTCACATTGCTAAACTCACAAACTAGTATTTAGTCACTTAGCCATAATACCAACTTACCTCATAATTTTGTAATATTTTAAACTTAAGATTTAATTTAAGTCTGCCCGAAATGCCTAGCCATGCTAGGTGTTCTAGTGGTACACTCTGTAATTATTATTTTACTACATGTAAACCACACAATAACCAAATTCTGTAAACTCAGCATTGTAATCCTTATAGAGAATAAACTTTGAATTTGAATTTGAATTTGAATAGTTAAAAATAGGAGAGGAGAGTTGTTAATGTCTGTGGTGGTTGTTACAACCTGGCCAGTATAACACTGTCTTAATGTCTGTGGTGGTTGTTACAACCTGGCCAGTATAACACTGTCTTAATGTCTATGGTGGTTGGTACAATCTGGGCAGTATAACACTGTCTTAATGTCTGTGGTGGTTGTTACAACCTGGCCAGTATAACACTGTCTTAATGTCTGTGGTGGTTGGTACAACCTGGCCAGTATAACACTGTCTTAATGTCTGTGGTGGTTGGTACAATCTGGACAGTATAACACTGTCTTAATGTCTGTGGTGGTTGGTACAACCTGGCCAGTATAACACTGTCTTAATGTCTGTGGTGGTTGGTACAATCTGGCCAGTATAACACTGTCTTAATGTCTGTGGTGGTTGGTAAAATCTGGCCAGTATAATATTGTCTTAATGTCTGTGGTGGTTGGTACAATCTGGCCAGTATAATATTGTCTTAATGTCTGTGGTGGTTGATACAACCTGGTCAGTATAACACTGTCTTAATGTCTGTGGTGGTTGTTACAACCTGGTCAGTATAACACTGTCTTAATGTCTGTGGTGGTTGTTACAACCTGGTCAGTATAACACTGTCTTAATGTCTGTGGTGGTTGTTACAACCTGGTCAGTATAACACTGTCTTAATGTCTGTGGTGGTTGATACAACCTGGCCAGTATAACACTGTCTTAATGTCTGTGGTGGTTGTTACAATCTGGCCAGTATAACACTGTCTTAATGTCTGTGGTGGTTGTTACAATCTGGCCAGTATAACACTGTCTTAATGTCTGTGGTGGTTGATACAACCTGGCCAGTATAACACTGTCTTAATGTCTGTGGTGGTTGGTAAAATCTGGCCAGTATAATATTGTCTTAATGTCTGTGGTGGTTGGTACAATCTGGCCAGTATAATATTGTCTTAATGTCTGTGGTGGTTGATACAACCTGGCCAGTATAACACTGTCTTAATGTCTGTGGTGGTTGATACAACCTGGCCAGTATAACACTGTCTTAATGTCTGTGGTGGTTGATACAACCTGGCCAGTATAACACTGTCTTAATGTCTGTGGTGGTTGTTACAATCTGGCCAGTATAACACTGTCTTAATGTCTGTGGTGGTTGGTACAACCTGGCCAGTATAACACTGTCTTAATGTCTGTGGTGGTTGTTACAATCTGGCCAGTATAACACTGTCTTAATGTCTGTGGTGGTTGTTACAATCTGGCCAGTATAACACTGTCTTAATGTCTGTGGTGGTTGTTACAATCTGGCCAGTATAATATTGTCTTAAGGGACCAATCAGGTACCCCTGGGTACAGTACCCAAAATGGCCGACACCTCCAGCCAACAAAATATTCCATACCCACGCTAATATCAGTTATAAGGCTTATTTACCAATCACAATTGATATATTATGACAATGCAATATAATAATAGCATAAAAACATAAAAAGTACACCTTTTTGGCCGATATGTTTGAAACTTCAGCACAGGATACTCGATATAAGCTTCTAATAGCACACCAAAAATGAACGTAATCGGTTGAAAAATAAAGGAGTTGATATGTTACACCAGGGAAGAGACGAAAAAATCGAAAAAAAAATCGAAAAATGAGTTAAGCTTACCGAAAAATAGCTCATTAATCTGGCAACATTTTGGTGTATGTCTCGTCTCTGTACGATAATTAGGTAAAGAGTTATCGTAATTATAGTAATTGGGGTAATTACGTCATTATCGTGACTCACGTCATACCTGTAGTCCGTTTATTGTCATTTTTAGCTTTTTTCCGTATTTTTTTTTTATGTTTTTGTGCCAAATTCTTGAAATTACTAGTTGGTAACTCTCATGGTGGCTGTAGCAGGGAGGTTCACTCCACACCAACCTCAGTGCCGACCAAGGGTCAGGTAGAGGAGGAGTTATGCTGCTTTGATTGACTGCGCCGCTCCCTTGGGTCGCGTATTTTCGCCGTCAATTCTTTACATTTCTGCAGCACAATGCCTCGTAAGAAGACTATTCACTCGTTGAACATGAACAAGAGGCTGAGAAAGAGGATGCAGAAGTTGCTAATAGGAAACCAAATAAAGAAAGCAGCGGCGGCGGCGGCAGCAGCGGCAGAGGCGGCGGCAGCAGCGGCAGAGGCGGCGGCGGCGGCAGCAGTGGCAGGTGACGCCACGACGCCATTACTACCCTCAAACTCCTCAGAAAATGAAGATTTCTTGTCAGCTGGTGAACTTCTAAATGCTTCTCCAGTGAAGGCATGTGCTAAGGAAGTCAAGGGAAAAAGGAAGACTGTGGCCACACCAGATGTGGCCAGCACGTCCCAGGCCACACCAGATGTGACCAGCCCGTCCAGGGCCACACCAGATGTGGCCAGCACGTCCCAGGCCACACCAGATGTGGCCAGCCCGTCCAGGGCCACACCAGATGTGGCCACTTCAAGTCACAGACCTACAGCATCGAGAAAGCGGAAACGAAGTGACATATCTGTGGCCACCAGCACCACTGTGGCCACTACCACCACTGTGGCCACCACCACCACCACCACTGTGGCCACATTGATCAAGACTACACCTATATATACATCTGTCATCACCACACCTACAGTTACGTATGTGAGGACCTCCCCACGTATGACTGGATCTCCTCTGACGACTCCAGGTGTGGCCACCCCACATGTGGCCACTGCAGATGTGGCCACCCATGTGGCCACTGCAGATGTGGCCGCCCCACATGTGGCCACTGCAGATGTGGCCGCCCCACATGTGGCCACCCCACATGTGGCCACTGCAGATGTGGCCATCCCACATGTGGCCACTCCACATGTAGCCACCCCAGTTGTGCCTAGCTCAGCTGTCGCCAGCACGTCGACAGCTGCTGACGCGAGTGCCAGTGATCGTGTGTCAACAAGAGTTCATTTGTCAAGTGCCACACGACGAGTGTCGATGTATGAAAAGATAAATCCTGTTGTCGTTGATAAGAAAATGATATGTATGGAAAACAAGAGATTTGATGAAATTCTATCACTTGTGCATTGTTCCCTTTGTTTTTCTAAAAAGATCAAAGTTACATATTATAATCATCACCTAGAAACAGTTCTTAGTATATCGTGTACTGAGTGTAAGAATAGTTTGTTGGAAAAGCCATATGGTATACGTAAGAAGCTGAATACTTTGACGGGTAGGATGGTTTATGCTGAAATGGTGACTGGTGGTGGCTACTCATCATTTGCTCGTAAAAATGCGTTGTGTAACCTACCTCGTCTAGGTTTTGAAACATTCAACAGATATACAAGCGTGATAACAAGGATATCCATTCAGTCTTGCAACAAAATTCTTGATGAAACAAGGCTGATCGTTGGTAAGGAATATGCCAAATGTGACATTTTACCAGACGCACGTGGTGTTCTTGACATTGACGTGACGTATGACGGCACGTGGCACACTAGGGGCCATAATTCTAATTTTGGCATTGGTGTGGCTATTGATGCCTTGACAAAGCTAGTAGTTGATTATCAAGTTTTGTGCAAATACTGTTTTATTTGCAGCAGTCTCAAAAATCGTTTGAAGAAGAAAAGACTTGCTATGGAAAAATATGAACAGTTGAAACAAAGCCATGAAAGCAAATGTACCAAAAACTTTTCAGGCTCCTCAGGCAAAATGGAAGTAGAAGCTGCACTAATCATCTGGCAGAGATCACAGAAAATGAAGTTGAGGTACAAAACCATAGTGTCTGATGGTGACAGTGCAACTTACAAAGGAATTGTTGAACTGAATGATGGTGCTGGTCCTTATGAAGGTATACATGTTGCAAAAGAAGAGTGTATCAACCATTATGCAAAGCGGCTAAGGAAAAGATTGACAAGCTTGGTAAAATTGCACTACACAGAGAAACAACTGAGAACAGGAAAAAAGAGAAAGCAGTATCACCAGAAGAAAGGGATGTTGACAGACTTCGTGATTGACAAGCTTGCACAGTATTTTCAGAAAAACCTACGGGAAAATCGTGGAAGTGATGTTGTAACGATGAGGAATGGCATACTTGCAAGTTTCTTTCACTGTTCCTCCACTGACGACAACCCACAACATCAGCTTTGTCCACCTGGTTCTGCTTCATGGTGTTTTTACAAGAAGGCGCTGGCAGACAACTTACCACCACCACCCCACACAACCATGAAAGTGCAGTTCCAGCTAGAACCTGCCTACTTCAAGAAGGTGCATGATATCTACAAGGACCTCACCAGAGATGAAATGATGGAAAGATGCATTCAGGGACGAACACAAAACTGTAATGAAAGCCTTCACAAACGAATATGGTCCTACTGTAACAAAGCTCTGTTTAAAAATAAGTGGCAAGTAGATTTCGCCACCAGCAACGCCATAGCAGAGTACAATGCAGGATATGAAAGAAGTTGCTTGGACATACAACTTGGCTATGGCCGTTCATCATTGAACCAACGTCACCTGAGGAATATGGACAAGAAGATGCAGGCAGTCATAACCAACGTACACAAGAAGAGGAAGAGGGTGGTGGACACCTCCTATGAGGCTGGAGGCCATTAGATGATCCATGTTCATGCCTACTCTTCGTCAAAGGTAAATAATTCATGTGAATTTGTTGTTTATTTGTATGTATATGTTTATAAATATTGTGTGTATATATATATATATATATATATATATATATAAATATATATATATATATATATATATATATATATATATATATATATATATATATTTACACATATATTTTGTACTTAATCATTGGTAATATGATGTTTAGTGTGTATTTCCTTCTTTCCAGTTTGATTTGCATGGACCGTCATGATTGGCCAATCTGCAAGGGACTTCAGGATGGAGGGATCTGCATGGAACTTCAGAGATATGTTATATATGCTCATTTCTACTCCTAATAAACATAAGAAGGCACAAGGAGTATTTTTACCCTCCGTAAACTAAGCCTCAATGTATTATTCCATTTTTCTGGAAAGTCTATTTTTTTGCAATTTTAGGGGGACTCCTCTCTTATTATTGAACCGATCTTTATCATTTATACAGGACTTATTCAGGGAACATTGTTCTATAACTAAAAGTGTTCCTTTTGGTAAAAATCCTTACCATTTTTGCATACCATGGGTGTAAAATGCAAAAATTGTCCTAACACATGTCAAGGCATCTTCACTATTTTTTTTTGGGTACTATAAAAGATTATATTGCATGATTGGTACACTTTACATAGTCTGTTTGGCATTAATTAATAATTTCATGTTACCAAAAATAACTTCGATATTGCCATATTGATGTAGCCCTCTATTATGTGCTACCATATACAATTTTTCACATTTTATTTTTTATGACGTTATTTATTGAACAATCTTGATGAAAAAAATACACAATATATTCTGACATTCCTAGATTCTGTGGTAAAAATTTCAGTGAAATCGTACAAAGGGAAGTGATCATGAATATTTACATTTGATAGGACAGAACTAATTAAACAGAAAAATGGAAAACAGAGAGAAATATAGTAAAGATGAAAGGAGAAGTGGTAGTGAGAGAAGTCACGAGTGTTATGATGTTTGGAACATTTGACAATGTAAGGAGAAAGGAAAGCATCTACAGAGACAAAGCCAAGATTAAGATTCACACAAGGAAAGTTGTTTATAAGGGATGGTTCAACAAGACGACGGTTGTGAAGGCTAGAAGTAGGATAGACAGTGTTGGCAGAGGACCAGCCAGTAGCATTATAGGAGTCGGCGATTCCAATACTTTTTTGTGCTCTTTAAGTTTATCAGCGGCCAGTGTCTCCATTTTTCTGCCTAGTGTTTTGTGTCCAGCTTTCTCCACCATCCCCATGACCTAAGAAAAGCTTTTGACACAGTAAACCACGAAATCCTACTCCACAAACTTGACCACTACGGTATAAGAGGCCATGCGCTTGCTTATTTCAAATCTTACATTACTAATAGGTATCAGTACGTCACCATTAAAGACACAGCATCAGCAACACGGCCACTTGATACTGGAGTCCCGCAGGGAAGTGTCCTTGGTCCCCTGCTCTTCCTCATATACATCAATGACCTTCCAAATGTATCCCAACACCTGAAACCCTTCTCTTTGCTGATGACACGACTTATGTCATCTCTCACCCTAATCTTGCCCACCTCAACACCATTGTGAATGAGGAGCTGATTAAAAAAATCGACTTGGATGAAAAAGCCAAAACTTACGCTTAACACTGACAAAACTTACTATATTATTTTGGTAGCAGAGCAGGAGATGCACAAATTAACATTAAGATTGACAACACTCTAATTACCAGAAATAATGGGGGAAAATTCCTAGGCTTATACCTTGACAACAACCTGAATTTCAGCACCCATATCCAGCATATAGCCAAAAAAGTATCCAAAACGGTTGGGATCCTCTCCGAGATACGATACTACGTGCCGCAAAATGCCCTTCTCACACTATACCACTCACTTATTTATCCATACCTCACCTATGCTATTTGTGCTTGGGGATCAACTGCAGCAACACACCTAAAGCCAATAATAACCCAACAAAAGCTGCAGTAAGAATAATCACTAAATCCCATCCCTGGCAGCACACCCCCCCACTCTTCAAAGATCTAAACTTACTCCCAGTTCAGTGCATCCACACTTACTACTGTGCAATCTATATCTACAGGGCCTTAAACTCTAATATCAACCTTGACCTAAAACGCTTTCTTGATAGTTGTGACAGAACCCACAGGCATAATACCAGAAACAAACATCTCTACGACATTCCCTGTGTCCGACTAAACCTTTACAAAAATTCAATGTATGTCAAAGGCCCTAAAATCTGGAATACCCTACCTGAGAACTCTAGAACTGCAGACACATTCATCACCTTCAAAACTGCCATTAGAAAACATCTTATCTCCCTGATACACCCCGTCAACTAACTACACGAATACCACCTGGTGGTTCACACTTACACTCGCTCACTCATTTGACCATAAACAGTAATATTAATCTCAGTCTTAAAATAATGAATCCTGTGATACTCCAATACTGAAACTATATTACTGTGCCAAAACAAAAGCATTCACATTGCTAAACTCACAAACTAGTATTTAGTCACTTAGCCATAATACCAACCTACCTCATAATTTGTAATATTTTACAATTAAGAATAAAACTAAGTATGCCCGAAATGCCTAGCCATGCTAAGCGTTCTAGTGGTACACTCTGTAATCACAATTTTACTACATGTAAACCAAACAATAACCAAATTTCTGTAAACTCAGCATTGTAATCCTTATAGAGAATAAACTTTGAATTGAATTGAATTGAATCCCCTGTGATTTTGGTCCTGCTTCTTGTGGGTCCTTAGCACTCCTGCGGTGCTCAGTTTTTTTTGTCATTAGACTGATCCTACTTCTTATACTACTACTACTACTATTACTACCACTCCTTTACTACTATTTCGGCTTCTACTTTCTACGTTTTCTACAACAATTATTACTACTGTTGGCCCCAACACAGACTCCAATTAGTTCAAAACTTATTACAGTAATAAAGACGTAACCCCCAAACACTCATCAACTAGCAGGTATATCTAATAACTTCGTGCGAAAGAACTAAGTGAAACCCAACTAAAAGCACCGGGACAGATACATCTCAGCCGAATTCCTAAAAGATGGCGCCTCTGAACTGTCAGTCCCCACAATAAATTTGTCCATCACCAATAGTAACGTTCCAGAGGGGATCAAGGAGGCCAGAGTTACTCTTATCTTAAGAAAAACACTTGATGTCAGCATCTATAGGCTTGTTTGTATACTCAGTGTGATGTCAAAAATTCTAGAAAAGGCGGTGTACAATCAGGTTTCAGGAAATCTTACTCGACCAACATCTCCCTAATTAATCTGATGGACTATCTGAGAACCCAAATGTCATTAGGGAATCTCATAGGTGTGGTGACCCTCGACTTACAAAAGGCCTTTGGTACGGTCAACCATAATATATTATGTAAGAAACTACAGGTTATCGGTTTAGGTACTGTAAACTGGTTTAAGTCCTGCCTGAGCAACAGGAAACATATTGTCATGATCGACAACATAGACAGCATTTGGAGTTCCCTTACTGTTTCTATATTACGTAAACAACATGACCATCAGCGTTAAGTGTAAGCTTCTGTTTTATGTAGGCGGCAGTGCTCTGTTAGTCTCAGGTAAACGCCCACTAGAGCTAGAGTCCAACAGCAAACGGTTAATAGAAAACAAACTATCACTACACCTCGAGAAAACGGAAGCCACACGAAAAGTAAACTGAAAAGGGAAAATACTTTTAATGTCCAGTGTAGTGGGGAAGCATCACTTCAGTATCTTCAGTGAAATATCTGAGAATTCCCTGTGACTCAAGCATGTCAGGAGAATTGATGGGGGACAATGTAGTAAAAATAGCGACTGTCAGGCTAAAGTTCCTTTATAGACAGGCACAGTGTTTACCCACTGAGGCTGGCAGGACCCTATATCTAGCTCTTATACAATGTCATATAGATTATTCTTTCTCTTCATGGTACTTTGCCTTAACAAGAAAATGAAAGGCAGACTACAAATCATCCATAACAAAATGGTGAGATTCATCCTGAGCCTGAGTCCAAGACAGTATATAAGCCAGGACGATTACAACAACTTGATATGTTGAACGTTGAACTTAATCATGTTTATAAAATTGTTGACAAGCAGTGTCCAGAATATCTTACTAAGACTCTCAAGGCTGGGAACCAGAGCAAGTATTTTTACTATGAAGCAAAACAAGAATGGTACTGGGAACCAGAACAAGTATGGTACTAGGAACCAGAACAGGTATGGTACTAGGGGAAAGGAACACAATTTTGTAGTATCCTCAGTAGGTGGTCAGGCTTCAAACACCTTTTTTATTCGGCATTAAAGGAGTGGAACGGCTTACCTGAACATGTCCTAGCATGAACTGCTCAGGAAGAGAACTAAAATGTTGGTAATTAGTGAAGCTACAGAGAGGGAGGAGAGTGATTGCTTGTATAGGTAACATTCATGTATCTGTTCCCCTCAGGGAAGGTTCCTTGATGTTGGTGAGGGGCTCTTGATTTAGGGAATTGGATCTGTGCTCCAGTTCCCCGAATTAAGCCTGAATGCCTTCCACATCCCCCCCCCCAGGCGCTGTATAATCCTACGGGTTTAGCGCTTCCCCCTTGATTATAATAATAATAATCATGTATCTGTTATTGTAAGTTGATCTTTTTTTAATGTAAATAATTCAGTTTACCTTATTCCTTGTATGTCTGCTTTTATTGTAACTGATTTTCACACAGTTGACTTACTTAGCTGTTTTAACACAGAGAAAGGAATAATAGTACTAGTGTTGATGATCTGGAGTGTTAGCAACAGTGGTAATAGTTGTAGTAGTAGTGGAAAGGGAGTAGTAGTAGTAGTAGTAGTAGTAGTGTAGCAGTGGTAGTGGAAAACGATAATGACAGAAAAAAAGTGTTAGTGACGATATAATAGTAATACTAATAGTGGTTTAGTACATAAGAGCAATATAACAGAAGAGCACCGCAGATCAACTCACCCACGGGGGAGAGGTACTCACCACGGGGGAGAGCAACTCACCCACGGGGAGAGGTACTCACCCACGGGGGAGAGTTACTCACCCACGGGGGAAAGCAACTCACCCACGGGGAGAGCTACTCACCCACAGGGGAGAGCTACTCACACACGGGGGAGAGCTACTCACCCACGGGGGAGAGTTACTCATGGGGGAGAGCTACTCACCCACGGGGGAGAGCAACTCACCCACGGGGGAGAGGTACTCACCCACGGGGGAGAGATACTCACCCACGGGGGAAAGCAACTCACCCACGTGGGGAGAGCAACTCACCCACGGAGAAGCCCACTCACCCACGGG